TTTTCCGATGTGTGTACATATCTATAAAGTTGAATACAGTATAGAATAATGGTGTAATTTTTTTTTTCAATTATAATACAAAATCAAATTTTGTTTGAATTCTGGTATACTTCTTGACTCTTTAACATATTGTGGTAAACTATTGTACTGAGTGATTCCTTTAAAAAATAAATTTTTTACACTATATGAGGTACTCTGCCTGTTTACATATAAATGATTCTGCCTCTAGTATTGTATGTGTGGATTTGGTTTACAGTTATAATAAACTTACCCTTAATCCACTGTATTGCATCAAGTACTGCTTCTAATCCAGATTGCATCAAGTACTACATAGCACCGTACTACTTATATCTGAATTGGGCTTGTCCGTGTATATAAATAAATAAAATAAATATTTTTCTCGATGAACGTGGGGCATGATTTGCTTAGGTGCATGAAAAAACTGCGGTCTCAAGAGAAATTTTGTTTTTTTTTACTTTGAGAGGAACGGCAATGTCATGATCCCTAAGTGAATATAAATATCTCAAAATGATACATAGTTATGTAATTATTCTAATTTTCGAATATTTCTGTAAATCTACCAAATTTACCTGTTGTAGAAAATCATTTAAATTACAGTACATGCAAATACAGTCACTCCCGTGGTATCGCCCGACGTTTTGAGAACCGCTTCTCTCCGTCATCAGAAGGGGTTGATGGCTCCTATCATACTGCACGTGTTGAGTACCCAAGAAGTTCGCCTGCCATGTTTGATGGAAGATGAGGGTAACAGAGAGTTTCCTCGGATTCACGATATATACCGAACTCTGAGGCAGAGGATTTATGCTGTTCTCTTTAATTTACATCACTTGCGTTATGTCCACTCCAAGAAGAAGGGTAAGAATTTTGTTTCAAACTACACAGTTGCCTCCAATAGTGTATCATCATTGTTTCCATCATATTTTCACGTCTATTGTCGATACATTTCGTGTGTGGAAAAACATTTGATAGCATGATGATTTAGAATATACTCGTATATCTTTTAGTGTTGAACAATCTTCCAACAAGTACCACATTTCATTTTCAGTTGTTTTTGTGGTGTGATTCGGAAGTATATAAACGTATCTGTGATGCAATAGAAATAGCAACAACAAAGTGCTACTTCTAAAGAAACACAGTTTACACAAACCGAAACAACAACTTTTCTTGTTATGCTATACGTTGGATTATATCCGACAAGCGTCAGTTCAGGAATCTTCACAGAAAATTTCCTGCATATTCGATTGGCAATACAACTGAAAGAGTCGACTTTCAATTTTGGAACGGACACACTTGCAGACCGGTTTCGGGCACTCTCATCAGTGCAAGATAGTGGCAAATAGTCGATTCAAATATGAGCGATTCAGAATCAAGTTGAAACTATCAATATTTTACATCCTGCAATGTGACTCGTGGGCAAAAAGATCTCAATTCTGTGACGTCAATGTTCTTTTTCTTCTCAACCTTTTTGATGCAAACTCTATATCCTCTTTGCAAAAACTACAAAATAGATGTATGCGTATACTCCTAAAATGTAATAGATACACCCCTATAATGACCATGCTTCAGGTTCTCGATTGGCTATCTGTAAAAGACAGGCTTTCCTATTTTTCCGTGATATTCATTTTCAAAATTATTACTGGAAAATTTTCTACCTATTTCAACCAGTTCATAACTTATCAAAATGAAATCCATGATTACCCTACACGAGGGAATAAGAACTTATATGTTACCCTTTTCCACAAGTGTCTCTTGGACTACAATAAACTTCCCAATGATATTAAATGTAGTGACTCCATTTTAATTTTTAAAAACCGTCTAACTAAATATCTGAAAGAAAAATATGTTTGAGTTTAACATATCTTCCACATTTATATCAGCTTTTCAGTTCATTGGTCTATCGAGAGTTGTACACTCCATCCTCTGATTTTATTTATTTTTATTATTCTTGTTATACTTTTGCTTGTATTTTCAAAATGTGATTGTTAACAGTATTATGTATATTAGGATTGCTATACTAATAAATGCTTTTATCTTATCTTATTTTCCCCGAAAAAGTCATAATTCCAGCACCGCTCTAACATTTTAAACAAATCTGTTTTTCCGTTAATCAGCTGTGGCCACCATACGAAGGACAACTCTCAGAAGTTGAGAAACTTGTGCGTGCTAAGGACTAACGAGGTTTTACCTTTTAACGTGTGATTCCTAACATCTAATACTACTACAATAATGTATTTTTTACACCATCAGAACATAGAAATTTCAACGAACAAAAAGCACACCGACTTTTTGAAATAGGCTGATATTTTGACGCGAAAAAATTAGGTTGCTTTTTTGATATTAAGTCAAAATAAGGTGAAAAAATAAGTATTTTGNCCATTTAGTAATTTTTTTTCACTTTCATTTTTATCACTTACGAAATATATATATTTTCCAGTTGAATGTTGTAACTAGTCGAGGCGTGCAATTGGCTGCTCTCTTCATGAAGGGCGTGGACATGGCTCTGTTGGCCAACGATGCCTGCGGAGCTCCGTTACCGTGGCTCATGTGTTGCCCTTGGTTGTATTTTGATGGGAAACTATTCCATTATACTCTAACGAGGTCCTCCCACGCCAAAAACATTCTTGAGGTTTGCGAGAATTACATCGAGAGAGTCGTCAAAGTGGAGAGGATGAGGAAGGCCATATTGGAAGGATTGGACGTGAAGTTCGCCAAGGTACCTTTACCGCCTTTCGCTGGAGGTGAGTTTTTGCATTAACTTTGCTTTCACAACTAAAAATCATCAAACATTTCGGCTAGTAGGTTTGTTCATTATACAGAGTTCCTAACAGGTTAGGTAGAATAGTAGAATCAATCTAAAATAAGTACTGTACTTCATCTCCTGAAGACGTCAACTTGGTTTAAGTTTTGGTATTTAGAACAGTACTTGTTTTTGTAAAAAAATGTGGAATTACAAAGTAATGTTGTTTATTGTTTGTTTTGAGCAAGTTTCTCAACATATCCTTGACACAACAGGGTGGCATCTTCAATAGTACGATAATTGGTTTTTCTTCTCGAGATCCTCTTATCTGAAAAAAAAACAGTGATTGAAGCCTCACTTTATTAATGTGATGATATTGTGGTCTTTCTGGGTTGAAAAATTTGTGGCACACTTATTAATTTCTGTATTTAAGATATCTTATGAAAACATGCTTTTAACTAACGGGCAAATGAAAGAAGTTGAACTTCAAATTGAATTTAAAGACTTCTCTAGATCTGCAAAACAAACTACTTGGAAACTATTCACAACTGGACAAATTGTAATTAGTGGCTGTTCAAGTATTACATAAGCATTATAGGATGGCGAGGGGACTTTGCTTTTCTTATTTTTTTTAGACATAGGGAGCGGGGTGTCCAGATGGTGATTACGTCCGCAGTAGTTATTTACTTTTTTCAGATATGGCAACCAACACATTGTCTATGTTTGAAAACGAAACGCATTCTTCTGATTCCCACAAATAATGTTAAAGTCACTTATCTAAATTTCTTCCGTCAATCTATTGTTTCGTTTTGATAGGATTGACGATTTGAAATATTATAAGCAAAGCAAAGCACGTTAATTTTTATGTTACCGTTAATCCACTTTCGCCAAAGTTGAATTGTACAATTAAGATGTCGTTTCAAATAGACAAATCCAAGTTATTCCAAAAATTGTTCAAAAGTTTTGAAAAATCTCGTAGAAATACGAAATTACACAATGTACAGAAGTAAGTTAACGTAAGTTCGACAAGGACTAACAATGTTTACGTAAGTGTAGGAGGGGGGTAAGATATTTGCTTGCTTTTGCTGACAATGGGGTTGGAGGGGTAAATAATTATAATAAATAAGCTTACGCAATACTTGATGATGGCCCCTCACAGTTAAACATTTTTTTTCAAAATTATCATGATTTCTGTGATGTAACAATTTCAACGATGAACAATAGTTACTGGATTTATTAGATATCTATTAGATCTTCCAACAAGTACCTCTGTACATTTTTATTTGTATCGGTGGTGTGATTTGGAAGTATATTAACGTATCTGTGATGCAAAAGAAATAGTATTATCTAATCGTCTGTTTTTTAAGAAACGCAGATTACATACAAACATTTAGTCAATTCATATTTTTACAAAGTTTTTCGAATCATTCATTGTTTTGCTATAATGTTGTTACTAAATATGCAGTATGAGACTGAGTTGAGTTCATCATATTTTCGTGTTTTTATGTCCATATCTTTCTGTGTAATAATTTTTTTTTGTAAGTCTAGCAAAATATTTTTGTCAGCTTATCTTATTTTTAAGCAGCTGTCATGTCCACATAATCTTGTCTTTTTATTTTCTTTTGTATCAGTGACATTTCAATTTATTTCTTGTTTATACCAGGTTTGTTGAAAAAATGAGGAAAATTTTCATTTTTATCAAAAAATATTTATTTATTCATCAATTTCTATTTTGTTCCTTTCATAGTGGTTCCCCTCAGATATAATACACTTGTGCCAAAGTTTTTTCCAATCTCCAAAGCGGTTCTGTTATACACTTTTTGATATGTCCTTTGGAAGATTCCCACATTTTTTGTATCAAGATGAAGAAGTAGAAGGCCAAAAACTTTCTTTCCCAAATAACTCTTTTCTCACCATTGTACTGTATATTAATATAGTATAAACTTGAGTTTCTTGATATGATTTAAACACCAGTCAACCAATGTCGATTTTTTACCTTTCTTTGAAGATACCGGTCTTTCGAGCCGGATTCATCAAAACTAGACTCTAACTTTGCTTGAATACAATTCCAGCACCCATGTTCCGTCAAAACCTGCCGCCTCCCCACTGCCTGCCCCCGATGAATATGTCATCGAATCGCGGCGGCTCATTGCGTGGACGACCGATTCCGTCCAGAGGCGGTCAACTGCAAGTGGCTGGAGTTGTCGTAGGATCCTGGGGTGCAAACTACGGTTACCAGAACAGCATGAGGCAGAGTATGATGCCTGGCGGAGGTTTTCCGCCCAGCAACAGAGGACGCGGAGCGGGCGGTTACGGTCGCGGTAGGGGTCAGAATCGAAGGCCTGGAGGAGCCCCTACGTTCCCCGTTCATAACAACAAGAAAAATCAGGTAAGTGATTGTGGTTTGTAATTGACTCTTGTTTTACTGCGCTGCAGTTACGTTGATTGCAGTTTTTGTTCATGTTTTTTTGTAGTCTTCAAAAGTTTAAAGTAGAATAGGGAGTCTTCAGTTGTTTTTGGCTAAAAATAACTAATTCAATCGATGATTGATTCTTCCTGGGATGACCAGTTTAAACTGATCAGGTTCCTTTTAATTTCTATGTTACTCATTAGAAAACTTTTTATTTTTCTGTTGCTTGATTGGTTAATATAGTTTTTTTATCAAGGTGGAATATTCACAAATTAACAAATGATGTGACAAAATTCTCCTTTATTTTTATGACAAATAGAAAGTCAAAGTTGATAAAAGATCAAGTGGTATTCAATGAACAGTATATGAAATTTTTGCTCGATATTTATGAAGGTTGCCACTTCTCTAAAATCATAAAGCCTTCAGAAATTAATCAAAAGACTTGAAAATTGAATAAAAGATTGAGAAAACAGTGAATTTGCTATAAAAAATCACGTTTGAATAAGATTTGCCTAAATAATGCATTAAAACTTGTCGGTGAAACTTTTAATGAAAAATTTGCTTTGATATATTACAACAAAAATAATTTACAGGGTACTCTAAAAGTTGGGAAACGTCAAAAATTTCCTTCATCTACCAAGCGATTTTTTTATTGATAGCTTTTCGATAGCTATCAGGAAATAAGAAAAATTAGTATTATGATCGATAAGTTTTTTGTTCATCATTATTACACACTTGATAAGCTTTAAAAAAATTCATAGAATCAATTTATGTGACCGTTCTAAGACTTTTAGTGCACACGTGAAATATTTAGTCTAGAAAAATATGCAACTTGGGAAAAATTTTCTGAATTTTTCTCAAAATATCTCATATTTCATTTATAATTGTCCAGGATAACATGGGGACCCCTCCAAATAACATTTGACAAAAAGGAAATGGCGTCAATTGTTTTTTTCTTTTGTTTTAATATGACTTGCTTCAGCTCTAGAACTCGAATCTTCCAAATTGGTTTGTGTGAATGTTGAAGCAAAAATTGAAAGTTGCATAACAGGTGCAGTCTTTTTTGAGTTTCAATGAGCTGTGTAAATTGATGCATACAAATACTTCAGTAGATAAATGTATTTATGTAGTTTATAATATATTGCTTTCATTTGCAGATGATTTAAAACTTTTACTTACTATTAAAACCTCATTGGATGCCCATAAGCTTCAGTGTGACCTTGACAATCTATCAAACTTGTGCTCCTTAAATGGCATGGACTTGAATGCCACAAAGTGCCATGTCATGCGCTTTTATCAATACCATGTACCATTTACCACTTTTGATTATACTTTAAATAGTCATGTCTTGGAGTCTGTTAATCAAATGAAAGACCTTGGGGTTGTTCTTGATCCCACTTCGAGCTTCAATCTACATATACCCACGGCTATCCATAAAGCCATGAAAATGCTAGGGTTTATCAAACGGCTAATCCACGAATTAAAGCTCTTTATTGTTCACTGGTCCGTCCACACCTGGAGTATTGTTCTTTTGTCTGGTCCCCTCATTGTGTAACTTATATTTAGAACAGCGAAAATGTCCAACACAACTTCCTCGGATACATAGCATATAAATCGGGTGTTCATTTGTGCTGAACTACTAGAAAAAATTTATCTACACGTTCAAAACCGCTCAACTCAACAGCAACAAACATTTTATGTACCATTTTATAATTTGAACCACACATTCAAAAACTGTATTCCAAGAATCTTACGACTAGCTAATAGTAACGTTGATCTTGAGATGTTGAACATCTCTTTGCATCATTTTGAAACTCAATTACGGAATACTGTGCTTTAATGTTTTAGCGTATAGTTTAAGGTAGTATATGTGTTATATGTTTTATTGTCGCTTATTGTTTTTTGTCGTTTTATACTCTAAAATTATTCCCTTTTAAATTTTAAATTTACTCCTTTTAAGATATTCTTAGTTGCAATTTCTAATTCTGTACCTTATCTGATTTTATTTGAGTTATAATTTAACATTGTAATTTATATTTTAAATTGGCTTGCCTGTAAATGAATAAATGAATAAATGAGTACATGTTGCGCTTTTGTGAAAATGTTTAGCGTGAAAATCTTGCAATGAAGTTTTTCTAGACTAAGTTATGGATTTTCATCGAGTAATGGCCGATTCCATTACGTGTACTTCATTTATTTTTCCTTTTAATATTAGGTTGTTTCAAAAGTTTTGTCTGTTTTTATGAGTCTGCTGTAATATTTCATAGAATACTTATTCAATTTAACGAACTAAGCGCCATTTGAATAAGTGCACCTTTGCCAACGTTGCACACGTCATTTAATTTCGTCAGCATATAATTTATGTGCTCGGGATTCGACGAAGTCGACGTAGGCCGTTTTCCCTGGTCCTGATTGACGAAGGTTCTACCGGTGAGAAAGTTATCCAAGTGCATGGAGTGGTATTCCTTTGGGAAAGATCTGGGTAATATGATGGGTGAGGCAGAACTTGGACGCCAGTCACTAGCCATTATACTGTGGTAAATCATGCCCTAAAGAAAATAACGCCAGCCGCCACTGGTAACCATAAACCAAACGTGACGTAGCTAAGAGCGCGCTAATGTACGATGATTCCCCGCCACTCTAGAAGCAACCAGAATAATGCTACCGATTTCAACGGAACTTCGGCGAAATTTCTACGGCATTCGATTACGATATTTAGAGACTAGCCACGAGAATATCGACACAGTCAAGTGGACGTTACAGTGCGGTACGCGAAGTGATTTAGTAAGGCGATAGACATTCAAATAGTGGTTGCAGTTAGCGGTGAATTGGTGCAGCGGTAGTGCGTCCGACTCACGACTGGAAGGTCGTGAGTTCGATCCCAACCTCGACCAGATATTTTTCTCGAGAGAATTTATCTAGTTGAAGTTGGGATGATTCTGCAACGTTACATGACTGACGGATTGTGAATAACCATGATGCTCTCCACGGGTGGCTCTGGGAGTTATTAACATTGCCTACCCAGGACATGAGGCTAATGACCAATGTAGTCGATGCCGATAACACCAAGAAAGAAAAAAAATAGTTGCAGTTTTAGTTGAAGTGTTTGTTGTATTGAAAGTGAAATAAAGTTGAGTTTGATTATTCAGTGTAGTCAATTATTGGTCAACTCACGGGTAAAAACGTAACATTTGGTGTCAGAAGTGGGATAAACTGTTTTATGGTGAAAGCAAGGAGTGTCAATCAAGACGAGATGTAATAGCTTAAGAAAATGTTCGAGCCTGACGTAGAATGAAAATCGCAGAAGAGAGGAAGATGAACGCAGAATACAGGAAGATAAACGCAAAAAAGAGGAAGAACGATTACGCCAAAACGAAGATCGAGAATTACTACTAGATATTCTGGAAACAAAAGAGGGATTGGAACAAATAGTCGATGAGAAGTTTGATGGGGTTGAAAGGAAACTTGAAGAGGAGTTTGAAGGTTCTCAAATCCTCGTCCTGGATTACTGTAGGTCGATCTCGGCGAGGCTCAACTTCGAGGCCAAAATATCCGGAACGAAATTTCAAAAACCAACGTCGAACAGTGCGTTTATTCAGACTATTATTGCCATATGTATGGTCAATTTTTCGGGCTGTTCTGGCAGTGCTCTGGTTCAATATGAATTAGTAGAGGAAAATTGACTGAAAATCGCTGAACTGCATTATATAAAAATTTGGAAAAAATGAACAGCTTCAATGTATAGACTACAGAATTCTCTATCGATCAGTATATACTACTACACAGAAAAATAAATATTTATCGATACGTGGAGGTACAAAAACACATGAAATTGAAACTGAGAAAATTTTTGAAACAACCTAATAAGTGTGCGGCTGGTGTTTTTTAAATGCGTGTTTAATTTTATTGCGTTTGCCACTTTTTTTGTGAATGTTGTATCTTGAAGTTTTAATGAAATGAAATAACTATTATTATTATTATTAATAATTAATAGTGATCAGATTTCTCAACAGTATGTGGCTATATCTATCTGAAGTTGAATGTATAAATAAGGAAATGAAAGTTGCTTGCCAAATCGTAACAGTACTTTTGGTCTATTTTATCTATGAATTATTTGTGTAACTATGTCAACAGATCACTTTACGTTTATTTATGCAAAAGTTCATATTCATTCTTTTTTGCAGGCAAATAAAAAGCGGAATAACAAATCAAAGAAGGGACAGCAGGGCGGCGTTTCTCTTACAGTGAGAACCGATAGCGGGTAGGTTATTTTTCAATCTCGCTCTAACTGAACTTGGGGCCTTTGGAAATTATATTGCAAAATTTCTATTTCATCGAGTTGTAGAATCCTTTTCTCTTTCAGCGATGTGCCGGTCAACGACGTGATCATATCAGAGGACGGCACCACAAGCTCAGGAGGGATGAAACAAGACTGTACCAAAAGTATCGAGCATAAAGGACAAGGGGATGCTCCGTGTAACGCTCAGGCTGCTACTGCTCCTCCCAGCGTCGTCGTCTCGTCCAATTAGATTCGGCGTTTTGGATCGAACGTTGCGCCATCTACCGGACACAAGTGCAACTCTTGAGTTTTACCACCTATTTTTTGTTTTGTTTTTGTTTTCGATGCGTAAGGGTAAGGCGGTGTTCGACAAACTTTTTGCGAGTATTTTCACGGACTTGAACGCTAGGTATGGACTCTTTTTAATTCGCGTTAGCTCGACAACGATAATCTTCGAGGGCAGTGTCGGCGATGCGGTGAGAGCGTTTTATCTGGAGGGTTCCGACGGGGTCGATCGAGTTGCCGTTTCGGGGGATTCCCGAGCTATTATTAGCTAGGATTTATTACGAGAGGTAACAAACATACTCTGGTTCAACCTTGGAGATGTACTGGGTGATCGGAGTTTTATGTGTTTTTCTGTAAGCGACTTCTTGTGAATTCAGTTATTTATTGCTGTTTGTTAAGTTGAAGTGGAATTTTGTTCGTCACAATTCAGTGCCAGTTTTGAATGACAACTGACTTTATTTCAATGCCTGATGGGGTTATAAATAACCTCAAATCAATAATAAATTGGAGGTTAAGCCATAACTTAATTCTTTTTTTTTGGTGTTTCGCAAAATTAACCTGCACTGCTATTCCTCGAAAATCTATTTGTCAATTATCTCAAGAAATTTTCTTTTTGAAGAAACTAACCCTGGAAACCTTGTCAAAAATGTTATAGTATTATATAAATTGTAAACAATGTTGCTTAATATTTTTATTTTTTTTTTGAGATTCTAAACAACACCTCTGTGGGAATTAGAATTGTGAATTCATCGTCATTATCCTCTCGATTATCTCAAGAAATTTTCTTTTTGAAGAAACTAACCTTCGAAACCTTGTTTGGTTTCTCGGGATGTCATATGAAAATGTATCAAGTCATTACCAGAATACTAACTTCCAGGATCATCTTGTACATCTTCAGGACTTGAAACATCTCTTTGAATATTTACTGTTGGCAATTTGTAGAATGCGGAATGTTTTGGGGTGAGACCTACATCTGAACTATTTCGGACTTGAAAGTTGGTAATATTTTTAACATAACCTCAAAATGAATGAATTTGACAGATCATGAACCTTGTTTGTCTTAAAACAGCAAAGCATTTTAAAGTGTGAATGAGGTTCTGATCTTTATGAACTTATTCATAGAGATTCTGAAAAACCGCCATTTCCTAGCCGGTTTTAGGGACACCAACTACATTTTTATGTGATTTGAATATACCTAAATCTACTCTCGCTCGTCAACTCGATCGGTTCGACTTCGGTTAAGTGAGTTGACACTGCTTCTGTGTTAAGACAGTCCGCGATGCTGACTGATTGTTTGAGAGCATATGTATATTTTTCTATGTTTGTTACAGCTGTTATAATTGTATATTGACTGAGAGAAAGCGCTTTGAGCGCCACTGTGATTATATTTATGGTATTTATATATATATATATACGTTAGATCTGTTGATTGGACCAAAGCAGGCCGTGCTCGAAACTCTGTCCGTTTCGAAACGACCTGCATTGCGCTAGAAAGATGTGCCGATGGTTAAGGATGGTTCGTATAGTATATATATTCGATGACCTTTCGGTGTAAGATTTGAAAATTTTTCAATAAAACCGAATTTACGAGTCTTTTTGTAATCTCTGGGCCGAGCTTGGATGGGAACGGAAAGCGATTCTTCTGTGCATTTTCTCATGATTGTGAAGAAATAACTGATTAGTATTATGGCGTCCAACGTGGGGCCATATTTATATCTTTATAATTCCTAATACTGAATGATGAAAAGTTATTGACAGGTGGAGAGCTGTTTGTCATTGTCTTTGAGTGAATCGAGAAACGCTTTTGGGTTTTCTTCTAAGACTCGGCAACATTGAAATTTGACATTGGACACTGGACATTGATCCTGCAAGATACAACAGTTTGTATCACATTGCTAGTAATGAATTTGCCCAATCTAAGGTATCTGCGATTTGCGCAGTTTACCTTCTCCCGTGAACTTTAAAATAATGAATTTTAAATGCAAGTCACTAATCCAAGAGTTGAAGAAAATAGTAGATTTCTTGGACGAATTTCCCCAAGTTCAGAATTGCGCTGTTGCTCATAGGAGACAATATAGCTTTCGGATAACTGAACTGATGAAACACAAAGGTAATTTTTGCCGCTAAACTGAAAATCTCAACTCTGCGAATCGCTCAGATTCGCAATTTGTGAACACATTGTATTGTTTATCAAATTAAAAATGAAATGGAACATTTTTACCATTTTTATTAGCTGTTTATGCTTGTTCACTTTGTAGTTTACGGAATACATTCAATTTAGCTCACCAATATAGAATTTGTCTTAGAAATTTCTCCAGAACCGGATGGAATTCTAGAGGTTATTTGTAATATTTGTTGTATTGATTATGTTGTAAAATTATTGCTCCACATGTTCATGGTATTTTGTACATTCGCAATAATTCTTCTTGAAATACTTTGCTTTCAAGGTGGCTTTTTCTTTTTTTGCTAGTTTATAAGCGAATGTATTTTTTCGGGGGTTTATTTCCGTTTACCGTTTTTGATGCGAACCCTCGAGTTCTTTAAAAATAACATTTACGATATATAATAGTATAATCTAATGCTTAAACATATTTAGAAATATTTGGAAGCGTAGCATAAAAAGTTTTTCTTTTAATATTATTCTCTGTAACTGAGGTATTTAACATTGTAATTTCTGATATATAATATGTGTATATTGGCTCTGTGGGTGAAAGGGCATCCATAATTGAATATTTCAAAGGTATATTTTAGAAATAGTTTTCGTGGTTTTGGAAAACTTGGGACAATATTGCTCCTCTGAACATTTCTTGATTTGATGAAGATATTCTGAAAATTTTCTTGCTTATTGATACGCTGTTGTCTTGATGTTTATTCTGAAATCACTGTGAATCCATGTTCACTTTTTCTTGTATCCCAATTTTCGATGGAAAAAACAACCGTTCAACTGTTAGGCCGTTTTCATAATGGGCAAAATAAATAATTGAATTTTGTATATGTAAGCCGATAATACGCTGGAAAGGTAAAGAAAGTTATCTGTGCAGTTGAAAGAGTTTGTTTGATATATAATATACAATTGAACCATTTTTGTTGTTTTTATAAATGCCTATTCCTATTCTCTTTCCATATCCTTCAGTAATCATTAATAATATACAGGGTATGCTTTACATTGTTTAGCAACATGAAAACATAAAATGCAACGTCAGACATATAGTAACATTAAAAAGAGAAACCATTAGTATGCAGTGGGAATAAAAACATCTTGATACAAAACGAAGTTAACAGCAATCTAGATATTCCTGAATTGAATATGGTTTCAAGTCTATGAGGAAATCTCACATATTTTTTAGGCTCTCACAGAATTTGATATTTTGCGGTAATTTATTGAAAAACTTGATTGATGCATATGTATCTGTAGAGTAGCGAGGGTGATTGTAAGCCCACAGCACTTAGGCCATATTCATATTCATATATTCATATTTATTCATCACCAAAGGTTATACAAAGTGTGTTGACTTACAAAATGCATAACATTTATCGGACCAGTCAGAGAAAAAAAATATACACAATATATGTTCACATAATGAGAGACATAATCGTATAAATCTAAAGAGAGATAGACCCACATAGATCATACAAAACTAAAATAAGAGAGATAGACCTACCTAGACTATATAAAGTTAAAAGTCTAAAAACTCATCAATACTATAGAATGAGTTATCAATTAAAAATAGATGTATATTTTTCTTGAAAATATTAATGTTGTTATTATTGTCAATAAAGCTCTTTACTTTGTTAAAACATTTGATACCCATATAATTCGGTGAATTTTGGCATACTCCAAGTCTAGAATAAGGCTGGTGAAAATTTTCTCTATTTCTAGTCAAATACGAGTGAACATCACGATTTTTTTAAACTCTATTTCACTTGATTGATGCATCTGTATCTGTAGAGTAGGGAGGGTGATTGTAAGACCACAGCACTTAGGCCACATGTGACCCATTGTACGTCCTCCCGAGGAGTTGTCCTCCTAGGTCATCGTCCATTTTGTCCTTTCCAGGAAGGTGGACAGGTCACTGGGAGACATCTCCTTTATATCGGCAGATGTAGGCCAAGACTCGCCGAACACACACTCTCTTATTGATAATAACTCCGGGCACTCGCACAGGACATGCCTGACAGTCCCATCTACCTGTTCACACATCTTGCATAGAGGTGTATCCACTAGCCCCATATTATGAGGTGTTTGCTTAGTTGACAGTGGCCCGTCAGAAATCCTTCTGTTAAGCTTGGTTTTTTTCCTGGTCATCGCCAGATATTTCTTCGGCACCAACTTCCCGGGGTCGCCCAAGGTGATCCTGGCAAAATTGCATCCTTTGATTCCATCCTATCTCTTTAAGGATTGAGCATGGGTGTAACATTTGATTAGTTCCGCAATTGTCGAAGTCATCAGGCCGTAGGTGCCGTTGGGTCCTAAAATTCTTAGTCCAGCCGCTTCCTTGGCTAAACAGTCGGCAATGCGATTACCTTTACTTCTGTCGTGTCCTTTAACCCACCTCAGGATAATGTTATTATCTACCGAGGCTTTGGCACTCTAGTACTAGCCCTGAGGTTATACGTTGTCTGTTCAAGGCTAATAGGGCTTGTCTGTTGTCAGTGCAGATTGTTATGTTTTTGCAAGAAATTCATTTCTTGGTTATTTCTTTTGTGGCGATTGAGATACCAGACAGTTCTGTTTGGACCACGCTGGTATTTCTTCCCATTTCCCACTTAATCCTTAGGCTTAGTGATCTGGAGTACACTCCACATCCTGAACCTTCTTTGGTTTTTGAGCCGTCGGTATATATGCGTATTGCATTTGCTGCATCTGACTCTGTATTTTGTAGGGTTTATTAAACACAAACCTGGATTCAATTGCATCACTTGCTGCCTGTAACAGAGGTTGAGCAGTAAGCACTTCCCGCCATAGGCCCAGCCTCAATTGACCCATTCTTACTTCGAGGTTTACACCAGCCGTGCGTTCCGCAATCGTACCATGGCCATTAACGCAACCTCCTTTACGTACAGGTCCAGAGGGGTCAGACTCGTAATCAATTCTATTGCCGTGGTTGGTGTTGTTCTTATAGCTCCTGTGATGTTTAGATAAGCCAGTCGCTATATTTGACATAATTTTTGGATGGCCGTTGCTTGTAGAACTTTTGGTCCCCATGCAATGGCTCCGTACGTTAACATAGGACTTATTAATGCAGTGTAGATCCAGGTGACCACACGGGGGGAAAGAACTCATACGCGTCCCACTGTCCTCCGACATTGCTCATAAGCCGCATATGCTCTTTTTGCTCTACTCTGTAGGTGAGAGTTCCATGTTAGCTTCCTGTCGAGGATAGTACCAGAAAAGTTTAGTTTGCTTTTGATGATTTCAGGATGTTTTAAGTCCGATAAACTTCTTGTGTTTCTATGTTATCTATGTTGTAAAACGTTTTACCTTGAGACTCACCCGTGGCCCACGGTGCCCCAGTAAAGGTTCCACTGCGCCACAGTAAAGGTTCCACGGCGCCCCATTAAAGGTTCCACGGCTCCCCAGGACGCCGCCTGGGGAGCTGGGGAAATACCCCAGCACCTGATGCATTTCTCAGTCGCTAATAACCCTGGAAGTTGATGCGACTTTAAATAAAGTATTTAAAAAAAGTATCTTGGAAATATATTAGTAAAATTTTTATAACTGTTATTTTTATGACTGGAATATATTACTAATCTTCTTTATTAATCTGAAATGGTTATTTCTTCAATGCCTTTAAAATGATCTATTACATACAAAAGATTTTGGGGTGCAGCGCCCTTGTGCCGTTCATGCAAGGGTGATTTACCCATACATTTTGGGAGCAATCTAGGCCGGGCAAAGTTTGGCATTAGATATCTGCTGAGTGGAAGGATCTTCAAGACCATTTCCAAAATTTCCCCTGACTAGATGTTTGTTTCAGCTCTAAAGATCCATGTATTTGTACTTCTAAAGTTATGTAAGTTATTCTATCATGCATGGTTGCATATATTCCTTTTTCAATGAAACGAACTTCTAATGGCAAACCTTGCTTCAACCAAAAATTGTGGGCAAGCTGTCGTTTCCAAAAATCTCGCCTACCGGTAGTGGCGCAAAAATCCCAGTGCCGAAAACCGAACTAGGTTTGTTAATGCTCGCAGCAGCTGCAAACAGGATAAATGAAAGCAACGAGCTTCACAATCAGAGAATGGGGAATGTTCCTCAATTGGGGTTACTACAGGAAATGCAAGTTTGTACAAGATAAAGTTGAGTTCAATTCGTGAGTTTTTTAAATTCACTTCGAAAAGTATTCAAATTGATGTTTCAAATGTTGGGTTTTAATTTTTAAAGGGATTTGTTTCTAATTCACATATTGGCAACAGCGCCTAGAACTATTCCTAAAAATATGTTACCTTGCATTTAATATATCAAGTTGAAATAATTTATACGTACCTAGATATTCCACTTTAAAAAAGGAAAATTATCTTTATAAATCAACAATTAGGGCAAAATATAAATTATAGTTCAATACCACCTCTACAAGCCATACAAACAACAGTTGTTTTGTTATTTATTTATCTAGAGGAAGATAGGTTAGGTGCACAAAATGTCATATGTCACAGAATGTCTCGGAACTCGGAACATAAGTAAACAGAACAGCACGCCTCTGAAATATGTCATCTTTGTTTGTCTCATACAGGTAACAGATTAACTGTCCTTTGCTGGCTATAACCGATGTTGCCAAATGGTGAAATAGAAACAAATCCCTTCAAATGTCGAATGCATTATTTCATTCCTCTTTTTTGAGTATTTGAAAAAATTTTTAAAGAAAAGGTTGAAATGCTAAGTTTAAAATACATTGTTTTAGAGCTCTTTTATGAAAACTACTTGATTTTCGTCAGGAGGAACATTCCCCATTAGGGATAGACTGCTTGCCAATCCCAACGGATCTAAATCCTTCTGGTCGGTAACTACAGCTGTTAATTTAAATTTTACAAAATCCACAATTCCACCACTAACACAAGCGGATGGTTCAATTGCAACAACAGCCATAGAGAAAGCAAATCTAGCAGCTGAACAATTTGCGTCACAGTCCACAGTCGATTTTCTGGAAAAGGCACCACCAACTATTCCTACACTAGGATCCACAAGTCAGGCGAATTTTCAAACAGCTTAATATCAACAAGGCGTCTGGTCCTGATGAAATGCACGTCATCGTACTTGAAAAGTGCGCAAATGAACTCGCACCAGTATTTTGCAGACTTTTCAACCTGTCTTACAAGAAAGGGGGTTTTCCTTCTCGTTGGAAGATTGCCGGCGTACACCCAGTTCCCGAAAAGAACAGAACAAATCTTCCAAATAACTATAGACAAGTCGCTTTGCTATCAGTGATATCAAAAATCATGGAGAAAGACGTAAAGCACCATATCCTCAAATATTTGGAAGGCTTCAACATCTTGAGCCTTCATCAATATGGCTTTCGAAAACAAAGATCAACAGACGGCCTTCTATCGTCTGTCACCCATATTTGGAATAGGGCAATCGAGAAACATGGAGAGTCAAAAGTTGTTGAACTTGATATTTCTAAAGCCTTTGACCGTGTGTGGCATGAGAGTTTGCTGGTCTAACTTCGATGCCTAGGCTTGTCGGATCATTTTTGTGCATGGCTCTCCAGCTTCCTGAAAGAACGTGTCCTGTAAGTGGGCGTTGATGGATATCTCTCGAATAATTTTATCATCAACACTGGTGTTCCCCAGAGATCTATATTGTCTCCAACCCGATTTTTATTGTATATCAACGACTTATTGGAAAAAACCAAGAATCCAATATATTCCTTTGCTGACGACAGCACACTTGTTTCGTCATTCCATTTGGGTTCCAGGACATCTGCGACGGAGGCACATCTTCACTTGCAGCAGAAGCATATATTAATGAGGATCTAGAAGTGGTTTCGAATTGGGGTCTGGCCTGCTCGTCATCTTGATTTCTTTCAGGCTGAGACCTTGATCCCCTACCCTTTGGACTGGTTTTCGTCAGAGAGACAAATGG